ATAGTTATTATTTCCAATGTTTCAAATTTAAAGATAAAATATATTTTCAGCAAAATTAAAATTTTCAATCAGAAAAATATACATGTATGTAAATAATATAGACCATACTTACATCAAATTTTTTATATTCATTATGTCAAGTTCTCCAATCACACGTGATCATGTGTTTTATTTTTAAAATATTACCATTTAATAGCATTTAATTATAAATTTAGATTAAATAAAAAAGGATGTATAGTCATATATGATCAAGAATCTTGTTATAATGTATATAAGTAAATTGACGTAAAATTTTTTCCAAATAGTATAACAGTGTATACTTTAATACTTTATACACATTGCGTAAAAGAAAAACATAGGGTCATTTATTCGGTCATGACGGACACAAAAGGGGGGAAACACAAGGACGAAAGGGAAACAAATATGAGTAAACATCTTGTCATGAGGAGGATCTTATGGTGAAAATTGAATGATAAAAGGAACAGAACTGCAGAGCTCCGGAAGGAGACAAAAAGCAGAACAGTCCCATGATGTGTTGTGTTTTCAACATTTGTATTTTTCTATCTGTATATTCCATTATTATTCTTTTAAGTTTAATAGCTAAAAAGCATTTCATATCATACTTTGCAATAAAGGCGATTAAATCAACTTTAACTTTTCAAACCAGTACATAAGAGGCGGGACAATGTCTTGGAAACAAAAAGGCAGACTAGTGAGCTGGGAAAAGAAAGAAAAAAGAGGCAAATTGATGGATGAAAATGGTACTTCCTTATCCGAGGAAAAGGGGCTTGATAACGAGCAAAGCCGAAAAACCACTTATTGAAGCCCACAGGGTCGCTCTCGTTCTATTTGTTTGGGTCGTAAATGCTCCCCCATATTGTGCGGACCTTGGTTTCACTCGAAGCCCAAATTTGTTTTGAACCCTTTACTGTTTAGACTGGAAACCAAACTATAGTTTTAATATCACTGAGGGAATATTTAGAAAGAAACCAAACTATGATTTTAAAAGCAATTTTATAATATACGAAGTAAACATACGAATAAGTTTTTTATGATGTATAAAAAATGTTTTTAAAAAATACTTTTAAACATATCCAAATACCTCCCGGCCTCAAGACTGAATCACTTTTAAGTCTTTAGCTCGCCCATACTGAACTTGAATAAAAAGGTGGTGGTTCTTGCAAGACTCTATGATGAGGATTACCAGAGGATGGAAGCGTCATCTTTTGCCAGTAGAACTTAAGAACTAACGGCAACAGCGCCAACCAAATGAACGAGAGAACAAGAAAATGTAGAGAAGCAGGGATGAAAGACCTACCCTCACCGCCTTTCCCCATAAAACTTTCTCCCTTCATGATAGCTTTTGAATTAATCGCCTGTCTTTCTTTGTTTTTTTTTTTTTTTGCCAAAGTTTGACATCACTGACTTTTTTTTTTTTTTTTACTAGAGTGACATCACCGACTAAAAAGATATATAATACTTCTATTCATTATTTAATAATATATACTAAATCCTATAATTATCAAAACATATATAACACAACTCATTCGTCGTTTTCTTGAATTGCGCGTGACAACCTACGGAACATTTCACCTAATTAGGTACGGATAATATCTTCGCTCACCTGTCATCACGAATTTGGTACATATTTTATGCATCTATTGCGAGTACTATTGATAAGAAAACAATGACTTAGCCATTATGCTTCCGGTGATATTGTTTATCCTGGCAAATTTATTGTTAAAATAAACAAAGAAGTTGAAAATAAAACCAGATTAACAAGCTCCAAGTCTCTCTTTAGTTGAGATGGCAGGTAAACAGTACACACGTGCACTCTGAGTAATATTACAAACTGAAACAATCTTTCTAAATAAACTGATAAACTTAACTTTTCTATAGTAACTTTAAAAAATAACTTTTTATAATCAAATCATGCCAAATACAAACTCAAATTATATCACAATGATCTACATTAACTAATTATATAATATTATTATCTGTGATAGAAAAGAGCAGCACTCAATCATACATCTTATCATGGATAAAAGAATTTTTCCTAACTCATTCAAATACACACTATATAAGAAAGGATCAATCTCATTTAATATGGTTATAAAACAACATATATATAGCTCACAAATCAAAATATTAAGAATTAAATCTTAATTAATACTTTATAATAAATTCATAAACAAATCACATGCGATCCCAGACCTCTTGCCAACTACCAGAACACATACCACAATAGTACAACTCAAAGGACATAAGACATACTAATGCATGAATCAATTAAAAACAATTTATCCTAATGTGGCAATATACAAGATATAATATAGCTCATAAATTGAGGAGACGCTACAAGTCGCTAATATAGCTTTACTCCTCCTGAGCCTTCCTTGACATCCCTTCTCTAAAGCTTTCACCTGAAAAATGTTAAACAATAGGGTGGGATACACAGAGTTAATAACAATCAATATACATTTATTTAACAGATAAACTCACAATAACCATATAGGTCAAATATTTCTGCTAATCTAATGCAGTTGATAAATTTTAAAAGAGATAATATAATTTTCATTTTATTCAAAAGATATAAATATCAAATAAATATACCATGTCATATGCAATCCATGAACCTAAATCTATTCGTATACCCTCCTTATTTTTGTCGACTGGACCTCTAGGCTAAATTCTTTCTATTTGACTGGCTACTCTGACAAGCTCACCCTCGAAGAACTAGTGGAGTGTCGCAGTCTCTCGAAAAACTAGTGAGACAATAATAGTGGCCAACCATAGAGCTCCGTATGGAGGCCGATACCACGTGGCATGTTTATATCTGTATACTCCAATTAATTCCTCCTCCAACCAAACCAAATGCACAGGGTTCACAATAACACATTTATATGCATGATCAAACGAATTCCAAAATAATATCTTAGTCATAATCATTAATTTCTAACAATACAAATATTTCAACTTTTTTTCAAAATAGCATTCCACAAGACAGTTCATACAAAACATAATATATGTATACAAAAATTGGTTATAAAATCAGTCACCAATCTTATACCAGAGTATGTAACAGATAGAAATTTAGTTACCTGGGCTGTTAGCTAACAGTCAAGTACAAACGAGGCCCGTACTCAAAAATGTCATAGTAGTATTTATATCTATAATCGAAATTAAAACATTATCTCTACAGTATTAGAGTAAACTAATCACAAATTTTTAGTCTTTAGCGCTCCATCTAATACCTTCAACTATCACTCGAAATTCTTACTCGACAGGCTCTTTCTAAGGTTTGGGATTAGAACATATATATGATAATTTATATTCAATTCCTAGGTTCCCTTAACTTGCATTATCTTTAATTATTAAATTATATCATTTGAATCACCAAATTTATAACTTAGATAGAGAATCCTCAATTTATAGCTTATGTTCTATCTTCAAAGAATTTAGATAGATAACCTGAATGTGAGTTAATTTATTCTTATTGTACAAGTCTAATTATTAATCCAACTGTTCAATTTAATGTCTTATATGTCACAGGTTTACTCTCTAAATTTTAGATTAATCCAACAGTTAACAAATTTAAAAACGCTAATTTACCATCTAGTATTCTATCTATCAAATCTAAAAAAATAAATGAAAAACGTATCTAATAACTTATAACTTAGAGATTGAATTGATGATCCAACCATTAAAACTAACAAGTATGAAGTCTAGGACCAGCTGATCAAATTGCAGCCCAATCCAACGGTTCACAAACTTGTAAACATCACTTTATTGAGACTATCTCAGTTTTGTTAAAAATTATTTAATTCATTGTTAACTCTCTCCTACTACTACCTATATATAGGCTCCTAGAACCCCCTCTTTCCATCATTTAGTCAATGTAAGACTTATTAACATTACTATTTTCCTATTATTTAGTCAATGGAAGACTTCTTAACATTGTTATTTTATTCATTTCTCTCTCTCTCTCACACACACACATAAAATCAGAATTATTTTAATTACATATATATTTAACCTCTACCTGTTCGATAAAAATTTGTTTAAATATTATGGGTTGTTAATTTGATGGTGTTATTGGTATATTTTTGTTATCATGGGTTGTTAATTTGGGTCGGTGTGAGGGCATTTTGGTTTCCTATTTAAACAGTTTCCATTATTAATGATCAGTTACACGTGCGTCAGAGTTATAGATAGAGAAGAGGAGGGAAGCAGAAGCAGAGGCGGTGCAGAGTTATTTATGAGGCATTGGTTTGGGGAAGTTTTGCAACACAATGTGGTTGGGAGTCGTGATGTCATATTGAATGGGGATCAACTACCAACGATGCACCATTTTGAGAGCAAAACTAGGTACATTCTTCTTTCTCCCATGTCTATCCATAAAAATAATAAGCATAGTTATAACTGCAATACATCAGTCAATTGCCATGTCTTCTTTTTGAACTGCCTTGCATCATTATTATAACAAACCCTACATAATCTTAATGGAGACAACATAATAGCTAGGAGAGAGGAGAGCTTAGTGATGAGATTGAGGGTGTAAGTGGATCGATAAGCGCCACAAATCAAATTGCAAAGAGTAAAAGAGGGAAAAGGAAACCCCAATTTCAGAAACAGAATATGGAGTTTTGAGTTAAATGTATCATCGATATCGACTCATTATATTACGCATTCAAAAATGATGCCTTAGTCTTGTCCATGCACTTGTGTGTGCGTGCCACACTATTTGAAGGCTAAAAAATTGAGCTTACCCTCCTCGCCCATTTGTTCTCTCTCCTTGTTTTTGGATTTCGCCCCCTTTATAATAATATTGCTCAATATGCTTTCCAAGAACAGTGCAATAATAATAAAAGATATATGCTGATGATCAAATGCTCGAGTCATAAAAAACCTCTGCTCATTAGATCTCTATGATCAGAAAAGCAAAAACAGATAGATGATAAAATTAAAGGCCAAGCGATCTAGCCCGTTATTTGTCTCCATTATGCATAAAGAAGAGGGGAGAGACGTGGTGTAAGGAGGACTCGAATAGGCGAGGCTTTGATATTAGTGAGCCCAACCTGTTCTCGCATATTTGTTGGTTGGTTATCAGGAGTTGCAATATCAAATCCATGCAGCAGATTGGCGAGTGTGAGTTGCATCATCAAGAGAGCAAATGAGACACCAGGGCACATTCTTCTTCTTGCACCAAAGGGAATCAGTTTAAAATGCTGCCCTTTCAAGTCCAAATCTTGGTGAGTGTTTAGGAATCTGTCTAGCCAAAACTCCAATGGGTCTTCATATACATGTGGGTCGCGATGGATTTTTGAGAGGTTGGTCAAGAGATGGGTGCCTGAGGGTATGTGGTACCCTGCCACTGTGCAATCTTCCATAGACTTGTGCTGCACATTGAGTGGTGCGGCTGGGTACAAGCGCAGTGTCTCCTTCAGGATGGCTTGCAGACACGGCAGGTTCTTCAAGTCTGATTCTGATGCCAGCCTCTCTTCCCCAACTTGTGTGTCTATTTCATATACGGCCGACAGCGAGCAAGCCAAACGTACAAGGAAAAAAGTGAAATGTGGATCTCAACAAGGGCAATTAGATCAGAACATCGATGAAGAGGTGATGGAGAAAGGGAAAACCTTTAAAGATACCTTGCTGGGAACAGATTTTGAACAAGTTTCTAAGGACAAAGCTGGATTTGGTGTCTTCAAGGACGCATAGGCATAATATATTGCAAGCCTGCAATGTTTCTTTACCAATGGATCTAATGAAAAGGAGAATAATGAGCCTGAAGAGGATGACGAGGAGGAGTGCCCCACTCTTCGGGTTCCGAGGGAGGAATATAAACAGTGGTATGCCCCTTGGCGAAGGTCTCTAATTATCAAACTTTTGGGGAAAAATGTGCCTTTATGGGTAATGCATGACAGCCTCCATAGGAACTGGAAAACTGGGAAATCTTACACAGTTAGAGATCTGGACAATGGCTACTTCGTTGCTTCTTTTGACAGTGAAGATGACATGAATAGGATACCTCAAGATGGCCCGTGGATGGTATCTAATAAATACTTGCTAATGCAGAGATGGAGACCAAACTTTGACCCTTGGGATGCAGAACTACAAAAGAAAATTGCCGTGTGGGTAAGAATTCCTCTATTGCCTCTAGAATTTTTCAATCCAACGAGCCTACGGATGATTGGAGAATTGATTGAACGGACACTAAAAATTGACAAGATGACCTATGAAAGCGAAAGAGGTAGATTTGCTAGGATTTGTGTCGAGGTGGATCTTAGCAGAAGACTCAAATCTGCGGTCAATATATTCGGCAAACGGAGGTGCATAGCTTATGAGGGACTTTATCTAATTTGTTTCTGTTACGGGAAGTTTGGCCACCATAAGGATCATTGTCCTGGTATCAAGACTCATCCTGAAGTTGAGAAGAATGACCGGACAAGCTCCACAGGAAATGTATCACAAAAGACAGTACACCCACGAATAATGAGGAGGGAAAGAAGAAAACGATCGAGAAGGAAACTGGGGAGGTAGTCGAAGTGGAACCTCATGGGGAGAAACGAGATCGGAATGAAATGGTAACCAAGGCAATGGCAGGTGGTAGAAATCCGCCAATAACGAACACTTACGGTGTCTGGAAGATTGTCCAGCAGCCAAGATGAAGGAAATCAGGAAACAATGAAAAAATAGGAGCCAAGAAAACTATGGCGAATACTGCGCGACTGCACAAGGAAAAAAAATTCAATCAGGATCCTACTAATAATAAGGAAGATATGGCAAGCCATGAGGCCAGCAAAGCGAGATCTCCGACTGTTAAGCAAGGAACCCCCAGGTCTTTTGAAAGAATTTTACTATTCAATAACGATGGGTCCCAGTGGATACCAAGAAGGCAGTTGACAATGCGAAAATTTACTTAGGAAAAGAAAATGGTACTGGGCCCTCATTTAGTAAAACTGGGTCTGAGTTATATAAAAGGAATTCCACTATACATCTGAACCAAAAATGCAGGGACATTTCTGGAGCTCACCTAATCCGTTTCGAGCATTGGGCTTAGTGACAGAAATTGGCTCATAGAGGAAGAGATATCACAGGCCCAACCTCCATTAGGTACGAAATCCAGGGGTTACGATAAAGAGCTACATAGTTATCCCTTCTGTATGACGTCAGCTGATATCAAGCCATGGCTATGGACTCTACGAGCAATATGACCACTAAGACGAAGAACACTCCAGAGTTACCTGTCACTTCTGAAAATGGGGACCTATAAGCGTTGCATCCCCAGCTCGAGGTGACCCATGATCTGCACATTTTGGAACTGTAGGGGGATGGGTTCTAAAGCTCTTCTGAGACTCGTCAAAGAAATGAGAAAGAGATACTCTATCGATTTCTTAGCCCTGTTTGAAACTAAATGCAATGGCACCCATGCGGTTTCTCGATGTCGGTGTTTGGGGTTTGACAGTTTTGAGATTGTAGATGCTAACGACTAGAGTGGAGGAATTTGGATTACTTGGAATGGGACGATTATATCTGTCTCGGTAGAAGGGAAATCATATCAATTTATTCATGCTTGGGTGACCAAGGGGCATGAAGAGTTCTATATAACTTCGGTGTATGCAAGCACCAATATCAACAAAAGAAGACACTTCTGGAGAGATCTTGCTAAGCTTCAACCAAGTAATGACAAGCCTTGGGTGATCGGTGGCGACTTCAATGCCACTTTATTCCATAATAAAAGGCGTTCCAGTGCTATTAACCCAACTTCTATTGACCGTGAATTTCTAAATTGGTTTGAGGAGCTGGAATTGAATGATTTGGGATGTCAAGGTCCTTTCTTCACATGGAGAAGAGAGGGATGTGAGAGTAGGATTGACCGGGTGGTTGCGAACGCTAAGTTTACTGAGACATACATGGATGCAAGTGTTAAACACCTACCTTGGTTTGGTTCAGATCATCGTCCTCTGTTACTAAGCACCGCGGTTAAAACCCTTAATGGCCGAAAGGATCGACCCTTTCGTTTTTTGGCATCTTGGGTTTTGCATGACGAATTTCCAAGAATGGTGGTGAAAGAGACATGGGATGGTAGTGTAAGCTGGGAGGAAAATATCAAAAATTTCACTAATGAAGTAGGGAAGTGGAGCCACAACGTGTTCGGGCATATTGGGCGAATGAAAAGTCGTCTGATGGGGAGACTAGAAGGAATCAACAAGCACTATGGCTCTTCTAATCACTCGTCCTCAATAGACCAACTGTAAAGGAAGTTATGGCTGGAACTGGAAGATCTTCTCATTCAGGAGGACTTTATGTGGGCCCAAAAGGTTAAGTGCAATTGGTACAACCTTGGAGATAAAAACTCAAAATACTTCCATGCTCATGCCAACGGAAGACGACGTCAGAATAAAATTGAGAGGATTAAAAATGACAGAGACGAATGGATTGATGATATTAAGGAAATTAAAAAGATGGCAACAAAGTTCTTTATCGACCTATTCAATACTCATGATAATTCCTCTTTTCTGCTATTCTTGGCAGTGATTCCTACCCTCGGTTGGACCAGCCCATTCTTGATAGAACCAGCACAGAGGTAGACGTCAAAGAGATCCATTTTGCCATGTTTAGTATGGGAGGCCTTAAAGCTCTGGAACCAGACGGCCTCAACGCCCTTTTCTTTCAACACCAATGGGACAATCTTGGGTCCTCGGTTATTCAAGTGGTTAAAGATACTTTCTCTGATCCATCGTCTATTCAGAAACTGAATTACATGTTCACAGTGCTAATTCCAAAAAGGGAGTACCCTGAAACCATTTGTGATTTTAGGCCTATCATTCTATGCAATGTTATATATAAAACCATTACAAAAGTTATTGCTAATAGAATTAAGGAATTTCTCCTCGAGGTCATTTCCCCAAATCAATGCAATTTTGTCCTGAGCAGAACTAGTGCTGATAACATTGTGGTTGCTCAAGAAGTTATCCATTCGATGAGGAATATGCAAGGAAAGCGAGGATATATGGCGATCAAAATTGATTTGGAGAAAGCTTATGATAGAGTCTGATGGGATTTTGTTATGAATTGTCTAAATGAACTTAATCTCCCTAGCGTGATTTATGCAACGTGATTTATGCTTGTATTTCTTCTCCATCTATGCAGATTCTCTGGGAAGGCAGTAGGGCAGAAGAATTTACTCCCACTCGCGGTTTGAGACAAGGAGATCTGCTCTCCCCCTACCTATTCATGATATGTATGGAGAAATTGGCCCATTTAATCCAAGACGAGATTAATTTAAAGCAACGGAAACCTATACGATTGGGTAAGAATGGCCCCCCATTTCTCACCTATTCTTTACTGATGATCTGCTTATTTTTGCAGAAGCTAGCTTAGACCAAGTGGAGGCAATCAAAGGATGCCTAGATAGATTCTGTGGAGCCTCAGGCTAAAAAGTTAGCAACAACAAAACGAGAGTGTTTTTCTCTAGCAACATCAACTATGTTTGGGCCTCCCAATTGAGCTAGGAGCTTGGTTTTACTAGCACGGCTAATCTTGGCAAATATCTTGGCACGCCTCTTCATCACGACTGAGTCAAAGCTGAGACTTACAACTTCGTGATTGATAAAGTAAGAGACCAACTGAGTAGTTGGCATGCTTCACGCTTCTCCCTCACTGGCCGAGATAAACTCATGAAATCAGTAATTGCTGCTATGCAAGTGTACGTTATGCAAACTGCTAATCTTTCCCCATCTACATGCAATGAGATTGAGAGAAAAGCTAGGAATTTCTTATGGGGGTCCTCGGACGAGAAACAGAAGATGCACCTTGTGTCTTGGAGCAAATTATGCACTGATAAAAAGAGTGGAGGGTTGGGTATGCGTCATTTAAAACAACAAAACAAGGCCTTTATGATGAAACTTGGATGGGTCTCGTTCACGATCATGAATATCTTTGGACCAGAGTTATTTGAGGGAAATATGGCTGTGGAAGTGACTTGATTCCCAAGATCAATCCCCAAAAAGCAGGCTCTAATGTTTGGAATGGCATAAAGAGAAACTGGGATAAAGTCTTTGATGGTATTCAACAAGTTACGGATCGTAATGGAGAGCCAAAGGCAAGGTGGAAAAGGGAGAAGAGTGTTTGTTTCACGGTGAGCTTAGCATACAAATCTCTTCCTTAGGCTGATGACATCCCCTCGTGTCTGTGGAAGAATATATGGAAACTTAGCGATGTAAAATGTTCGCTTGGACACTCAACCATCACCGTATTGTCACTAACAAGAGGAAAATGAAGATGAACTTACCTCCTACTGGTTCGTGCCCTAGGTGTAATTTCCATATCGAGGACGAGAACATGCTCTTAGAGACTGCAAAGATGTCAAGAACTTTTGGGAGCAAATCATCAAACCGGCTTATCATAATAGCTTCTTCGCTTGCTCCTTGCAAGATTGGGTCATTCTCAATCTTACAAAGAACGTCGGTACCAGGCATGCTTACTGGAAGGGTTTATTTGTGATTATCTGTGGGTTGATTTGGCGGGATAGGAATGAGATTGCCCATTCAAGTGGCAATACCCAGATTAGCAACAATCTTGCTAGAGCTTTGGCGACTCTAAGGTGTATGAACACTGCGTATGACAAGCTCAAAGATGTCAACCTTACCAACGCGAGAAAGGTCCAAACAAGTACGGATATTGGTATAATAGAGTTTGATGCGCAAGTGGAAGTAGACGGAGCATATTCATCGGTCAACCAGCATGTGGCTTGTGGGGTATCTTGATAGATAATGCAGGATGTATCAATGAGGGATTTCATTTCAGATTTCAATCCGATGACGCTCTGAAAGCGAAATTATGGGGCTGCCTTATTGGACTCAAAAGAGCTTGGGAAAGGGATTCAGGAACATTGCTCTTCAATGTGACTCTCAAGAGACCCTTAGATTGCTCAGGGCGGGCCAAGCAGACATGCATGAAGACTTCACGTTGATAGAGGAAGTTAAAAGTGTGCTTCAGAGGGACTGGAAGGTGACGCTGCATTAGAATAGGAGGGCAGACTCACTTGCAAAACGAGGATTGGCCACAAGCTACGGCCTACAAGTGTTTGGCCCTGATGCCATACGTCAATTAATTCCTCCTGACACCAGGGGTAAGTTTGTTACAGGCTTTAGTT